AAAAATATTAAAAAGGATAAATTACCTAAAATTATATATAATAAATAAATTTTTAATTTTTTTTAAGGAGGTCAATTGCCCCTCTGAGGGCTTAAGGGTTCCGCCACTGATCATAATTAATATGATCCAGGACTATTAGGAGCATACCCTAATTCTTCAATTTCTATCTATTTTATGAGGCTGTGAAGAGCAAAACAATTAATGAAAATGTTAAAAATATATATGGACTATTTATTAGGGATCATGTTAATAGTCTACTGATTACTTGAATATTTCAAAATAATCTATTAACTCATCAATTGTGACAAAAAATAATTAAATAGATTGATTATATTGAATTATATTTATGTGAATAGATTAAATTGAATATGTATAGCATGAGTGCCAAGGATTTTCACCTTTTCTCAAAGAATTCAGACTGCACAGCTAGGAGTGAAAATGGGTCGAGTCGAGCTCGGGCAAAGTGCTATTCGTGTTGAGCTTGACTATCAAATATCAAGCTCGAGCTAGAACTCGAGTTGAGCTCAAAAGACGAGCTCGAGCTCGACCTGTCTCGTCCTATCGTTCTTCGAGCTTCGTCGTTCCATCCTTCATTGTCCTATCGTTCTTCGAGCTTCGCCGTTCATTGTCCCATCGAGCTTCGTCATAGCCACGAGCTCGTCGTCCCGACCAGGCTAACCCTGCTAGCAACTCGCGAGCTCCAAGCCTCTGACCTTTGTCATTGTCGAGCTCTGTCGTCCGTTCAATCTCCGTCGTTTGGGTTTTCCCGCCCGACCATCGAGTCATCCTCTCGCCCGCCCAAACCGAAGGTTTGATTTTCCCACCTAGTTACGTCCGCGAGCTGCTTGTTGAGCCGACGAGTCGAGCAAACGTCTGTTCGATCTCGAGCTTGAAATCATGTTCAAGCTTGACTCGTCGAACTTGTTATAGAGTCTAGTCCGATCTGACTTGCCAGTCGGGTTGACTCGGTTACACCCCTATGCACGGCTATAGCAAATCTGGAAACCTTAGGATTTGTGTCAAGGAGGTCTATCTATTTCAGCCCGTAACTTGCCGATTATCTCACAAATAAAACTCAAAAATGTTGATTTCTGCTCTCAATCATTCGCAGATTTGGGCCCTCCATTCCATCCTTCCTCCAACACCCTCAATGGAGAATCCCTGCAATCATAGACGAGTTTAGGAGGAGAAATCATGAGTTTCTCAGCCAAAGAAACTCCTCTTTTTGATATGCAACTTAAGAATTTTTTTGAATAATTTTATAAATAATTTACATCTTTTCCTCACTGACTATGAAAGTGAAAAAGACTGATGGGAAGTGCCGGCAACTGGTATGATTCAGAATGATTTCCCTAACCTTTTTATCAGTTGGTTAAAAACATGTATCTCAGATGTGAACTTCTATATAGTCATTAATGGGGCCCTAGAGGGCTATTTCCCTTCTACTGTTGGGCTTAGACAAGGTTGTCCGCTTAGTCCATATCTTTTTTGTCTGGTTATGGACGCCTTCTCAAATCTTCTCGAGCAAAGAGGTTTTAAAGGTATCTCTACTGATAATTTTACTCTTTCACATCTCCTTTATGCTGATGATGTGTTGATTTTTGGAAAAGTTATTTTAGGAATTGTTACAAGCTAGCTAGTATTCTAAGAGATTTTGCTAACGCTTATGGGTTACATATAAATTTTGATAAATGCTCTATCATGTTTCCTAAGAATTAGAAGAATCTGGAAGATATATGTCTAGCTCTCTCTATACATAACATAAGCTCAAAGATTGCATATCTTGATATTCCATTATCCTCTACAGGCTCAAAGTAGAAGAGTTCCTGCCTCTTATGGACAATATTTATAAGAAGATGTCTGGTTGGAGAGCAAACTTATTGTCTTTTGCTGGTAGATTGCAATTCTTGAAATTCACCATATAAAACACTATTGCCTATTGGATACGAGGATCCATATTGTCTAAAATTGTTTATAAGTTTTTTAAGAAAACTTGTTCTAGGTTCCTATTTTTTGGGGACACTGCTAGTGGTAACAAATTGCTTATGGTCTCTTGGGATAAAGTTTGTCTGTCTAAACACAAAGGCTGGTTGAGTATTGCTTCGATAAGTGCTCTTCAATTTGCTTTTAATTATTCTGTGATTAACAGAATGTATAATTGCCCTTCCCCTCCATCTTCTTGGCTCTCCAGCAAATACACTTCTTCATGGCGGCCTCCTCAGTCTACAACTTCTAAATTTTGGGTTTTTGTATGCAAAACTACTGAAATTGTTAAATCGAGCTTTCAATTTATAATTTTGCCTAATGCTCCAATATCTTTGCTTTGGGACCATTGGTGCAACAATGTTACTTTAGGTGAAATATTGGGAGGGGCTTCACTCGATCATCTTTCTCAACCTTTGCTGAGATCTTACATCACAGATTTGCACTGGAATTCTCCTGTTAATGCCCCACTATAGCTGAGTAGTATGGTTGGTAGCATTCCTATCATTGATAGTGCAAGTCCCTGTCTGCTTTGGAATAACTAGAACAATGTTAAATTTAGAGACTTTATTGAGAAATTTTACAAAAATCTGCCGCCCTGCACTTGGTAGAAGTTGGTTTGGCATAATAAACATATTCTGAAACACTTTGTTTATATTTGACTTGCTTTAGTCGGAGGCTTGAAAACTGTAGATGCTTTGCACATTAGAAATATACATGTCCCAGCCACTTGCAGCTTTTGTCACTCAAGCCTTCCTTCTTAGACCTTCGGTGCTGCATCTTTTCCAATGGCTGGAAAGTGATTTTTCTGGATCTCCCTCTATTAAAAACTCTTACATGCTGATAGTTTGTTGCACTATATATCAAATTTGGAAAGAAAGGAATAATCAGATATTTGGGATTGTTATTCATAGCAGTTCTTCCTTTTTGATCAGTATTAAAAGAGTGGTATAATGGAAAGTATTAAAGTGGAAAAGCTCGATCAATCTGCTGGATAAGCTTTGGATAAGCTTTGAGATGGCAAGCGTTTTCATGCGCCCGGTTCTATATCCCTTTTATTTGACTGTTGGATATGTTAGCCTGGACGATGATGAAGCTCTATATGTTGGTTAATTATTGCCTGACCCCATGGATGGTCTTTGGGCAACCGGGGGTTAGTGCCTGTTTATGATTCTGATCTAATTATGAGTCCTGGCTTTAATGTTATGGAGCACTGTTTTGGGGTTTTCCGTTTTTGAAGTGTGACATTTTTGTTGTTGTAACATCTTTTGTTGTTTTTGAGCTTTGCTGAGCTTTTGCCCTTTTTTTGCTGGGCTTATTTTGTCTTTTGTACAATGTTGTAATCTCTTTGTTATTAACATTCGGGCTTTGCCCAAATTTTCCATTTTTATTCAAGAAGCTTGTTTTGGCAAGTTAAAGGCTTGATTTGTGTTAGTTTTTTTACTGCTTTTCAAAGTGCAAATTTTACTTTAAAAACAACAGTAAAAGCGCCTTCCCAAACGAAAGCAAAAATTACTTTGCATTCTTTCCTTTAGGGGGATGGTAAGCGATTCTCAATGCTTCCCGTATAGGTTTGTTCCCAAAGACTTAACCCATAAATGCTTTTGTTGCCCACTACATTCTCACTCTATCTTCTACCATGCTCTTCGGGCTCATTCCATTTCTTATAGTTAGAAAATATTTCTGTGCTTCAATAAAATTTGTTAAATTTGTCATATAATTGGACTTAATATGAATTTAAACTGCATAAATTCTTTTGAACGTAATAATTTCATTTTCAGACATAAAAGGAGTTAAAATGAAATTAATATTTTCTAAAGAATATTTTTTATCTATAAACAAACAAATTAGTCCTCAAACATTGCAACTTCCCTTCATTTATTGAGGCACACGAGATTATTAGAATTACTTTTATATTAGATAATTCAAAAGTAAGTGGATTTAGAAATAACAAGTGTTTGGTTCACACCCATATATCTAAATTTTAAAGATGGAATTTGTTCGGGATGGAAGTAAATCATGCGATGAAATAAATAAGAAAAATAGAAATGTAGAGGAAAGAAAGGACACATAAATTTAATGTGAAAAAATCCGAAATTGAGAAAAAATCATCGAGCCACAAAAAAACCAAGAAATCACTATGAAAATGGGGAGATATAAGTACGAATTTATCCTATTTTGCTTTCTCCTTGTTTCTCTTCTCTCTTACACCATTCTCACACACTCAAAACAAAAAAGAAAGACTAGTTAATAACACCAAGAGACACCCACCCTTGAGAAAAACGAAAAAGAAAAACTATCAAGTCTGCCTCGCAATGCTGTAGCGCCAATTTGGAGCGCTACGGTGCTCAGACCTCTGTCATCATGATGCTACGGTGTTCAAACTCGCAGCATCGCGACATCACATAGAACTATAGCAATGCATCTATAGCACCACGGTGCTTCGCTCTTTATCGTTTCTCCCAACAAATTCTATAGCACCGAGGCATTTGGGACCACAGTGCCAGAACGCTCGAGTACACAGTTCCCGAACTCAAGTAGGGGGAGGGCCCCCTGCAATTAAGCTTGCTCATCCTGGAGAAATTTTTAGATGGGTGACCTACTGAAAAGTTACACCAGCAGAACAAAACCGTGTTAAGAGTTTGAGTTATTACATGCACGCCCCCCAATGAGACCGACAAATTGAATTGATGTTCGAGGCAATAGTACAACCCAATTGATCAACGATCAAATTCCACACAGAACTAACAGAATTGTATCTAACAGCTGATGTATCACTACCAACTTTGATCTTTTTTTATTTATACTCCCTAAAAAGTGCAATATGATCTGATTATTTGATTGAGATTGAGTGGTATTTGTTTTCTGTGGCTCGTAAATATATTTGATGTTGACGAGTAAGATTCTTGAAAAACAATCAAATTACCATCATGATCAAGTGGGCTATGACATTAAAGCTCATGTGAGAGATGTACTATTCATGACAAGAGTGTATGGGATGAAATTCCATAAAGATCTTGTTTCTCTCTGCTCTGTCACAACACTTTGCATAACAACGTTAAGGTGTTTGGCAGGGGCTACAAACTTACCAGAAAGAACTTCCTTAATTTTTTGTGCAAGGCACAAGCTTTTGTGGTTATGCAATTTTATAACTGAAAGCAGCTGTTCACTTTGATTGCTGAGTTTGATCATCAAGTAAAGATCCAATATAAGGAAATAACAGACTTACAGTAATATTTAATACGCTTAAAGATACAGAGTAAGAAACCCAAAGAAAAAAAAAAAAGAAAGAAAGAAAATATTATAGCTGGTATTCAATGCCCCAAATACTAGAACGTATCCCGCATGAAACTGGCAAAGCAAGTACAGTAGCCAACATTCAGGACTTGGAACTCTTCAGTAAAAAGGAGGAAGAAGGACCCATCGTCTTGAAAATTTTGGCCTTCCATCTTTTCCATCGAACAACTGCAGCAGAATTTCAGCAGTTAGAGAACTATAAACAAATTGATTTATGTTATGCCTCTACCTAACAAAACTAAAAGAGTAAGGCTTTATTTGGGCGGCTTTCTTATTGCTTTTTAAACCGATTATTTAGTAAAAAAATTAAAATTTTTCGTTTTAAGAAGCATAAAAAAAGTCGTCGCAAATAAAATCTAAAGCTGACCTTGTTCAGTCTCTGGTGCTTTCCGACAGCCCAGTTATACATTGAATAAGTACCAACTGCAATAAACAAATAGCCAGCCAACGTCTGCGTTGCAATGTTGAAACCAAGCCACTGATAAATTTCTGTTGCGTAGTTCGCACAAGTGACAATGTTGAACAGGAATCCTTGTGGTATTTGATACCCTCCAACACCATCAGAACTCCTCAATTGTTTCAGAATAATGTGGCAGTAGAAATTTGCGAATTGGCAAATTAAGCCAAAAGTAAAACCAATCTTCCATTGCAGTTCGCTTACAGGAGAGTAAAGTGGGTGGTTCACGTTATAAGAAACGCATGCAGCAAAAGTCCAGTAGTAAGAACAGTTTCTGTAGATATTATAGATTGGTGCAGTAGCATGGCTGAATCTGTGAACAAAGAAAGTCTCCATGATGCGTTTGAAGTAGTGGAAGGACCAGTAATACAAGGCGTAGGTCTGAACGAGATGCTTTTCTTTCCTTTCCTCGTAACCAAGGTATTTGTAGACTGGGAAGAAGTAGAAGATTGGGTATATGAGAAAAGGGCCCAAGTACTCCCAGAAGAAGAGGGTCCTGTAAGACACCTGGGGTCCTAAATCCTTGAACACCACTGTCATAAAATTTTCATTTCCATCTGCGTAATCTACAAGTTTCTTTTTTGGATTGAGGACAAATGGTTTTCCATCCACTCCAGATTTTAAATGGAATGTAAGGCGCTGTCGAGCAGGATAAAGCTTCTTATCTGCATCATGTGTAAGAATCAATTATAATGTATCAGACTGAAATTTGTGAAAGGATGGATCACAATTGAAAAGGATGGATCACAATTGAAAAAAAAATTAAATTTTTTGTTGATTCAGACTCCCTAACACACGTAATTATGTGAAAAATGAGTTGACTCTATTGAATTTTGATGGGGAGAAATGTAAATTTTGCATCACTTACTCCGTGAGTAAATCGCCTGTTGCAGATCGCTAACCATTGCCTGCAACCAAAGATACCATTTTTAAATTCAAGTACTTTTGACAGTTCGCCAAATCAAACTCAGTAATCTCAAAATAGGAATAAAAAATTCACAGAGCTTATAATTTATGCGTTAAAAATAAGGAATTTTAAATTTTCTACCATCAAAATTTTTACAAGAGATACTTGAGATTTGAATAGATGGAACTAAGGATTTATTTGTGATGACTTTCTCACTATCTTATTCTTAGACTGCAACTATGCTTCAATTAGGACATTGCTTTTTTGCTATTTTAGATGTACTAATATGTGAAAATTGTAAGAAAATAGCAATCTAATTTAAAAAAATAATAATATATTTATAATAACTTTTTTCACAATCATCTTTATGAAATGTTACAATCATTCAAAACATATTTTACGGGTGTGTTTGGGACGACTTTCTTATTGCTTCTTAAAATAACTTTGTAGTAAAAAAATTAAAACTTTTGTACTAAAAATTTTCTTTTTACTCTAAGATGTTTATTATTGTCTCATACTTAGCTTCATTATTTGTACATGGCTCTAATAAATGATATGAGTAGTATATAAAGTCTTCGTTTGTGATGACTTTCTTACTATTTTTTAAAGCAGTTTTTAGTTCAAAAATTAAAAAGCTGCTTAAAAGAAATACTAAGAAAGTCGTTCCAAGCGAGCCTAAATCTTTATTCGTGATGATGAATTTAATAGCAATTCCAGATTTTTTTGGGATATATCTTATGATCCTTTATCTACTTAACTTTTGCACTAAATTTTTTTAGAGCTATAAATTTTTTTGTTGACTTTGAAGATCTTATAAAATGTTAACGAATAAAGAAAGAAAAAGTACACAACTCTTTTTGGCCTATTGGTTGAGAGCTTAGGCTTCGCACTAAGAGGTCCAAGGTTCGAGTCTATGTGTATGCGTTGTGTGTGTGAGTTTGCCTTAAATGGCCTAAATGTCCAAAAAAACATAACTTTAATATCTATAATGAAAAGTGCTTTTATTTATATTTTTTTATTTGAAGGAACATAAAAACAATTTTAGTTATCCTACTATTTTCTTAATAAAATTAATAAATTAAATTAGTATGACAATAATAGTATTCTTGATCATAATATATTTTAGCCCTTTGAAATATATATCTTTGTATTTTGAAAATTAATAAATTATTATATTTTTATGCCATTATAATAATAAATAAAATCTATTCAATATATCTATCTATTATATTTATAATCTTTGCTGTGTTTTTCCTTTATTTTTATTTAATTTTTACTTAAAATTTTATCACAATGAGAAAAAAAAATTGAAGCAACAACAGTAATAGAAAATCTTACAGATGCATCGAGCTCCAACCCCATAAAGATCTCCTGGCCATTGCGTGAGATAACATTGACCTTCATTTCAACTCTTAAAAATCAGAGCCAAATTCTTCTAAGGAGCAAATTGTCGAACACCTTTCGCTCACAACACTCTTCTTCCTCGGCGGAGGATCAGAATAGAGCAGAAAAACTTGCTTGCAGTGGGCGAGCTATTCTCTTCGCAATCCATCTCCTATTTATAGTGAAATTTAGAACTTTTTTTAAGCGACAAAATTGAAGCTTTACATAGAGAGTAAGACACACCAGGCAGTCCGTACAGGAATATTAGATGTGTATGTATATTATTCGCTCGTAAAATTTTAAATTATCTATCTAATATTTTATTTTATTTTATAAAGTGGACGGTAAACGCAGCTTTCTGCACCTGATGATTTCACCAATACAGGCAACGTTTTCTTCTTGGAATAAGAAAATAGAAGGCTCTGTACAGCCGTTCAGTGTGGACAAATTTGATCATGTGCTGCGTTTTTCCACCCAGGTGTCCTCATGGTCGCTGAACCAAATGTTACATCATGAAATTTTAAATTAGACCATTTGAGAAATTTGACTTTGTTTCCGTCATGGAAGACCTCGCAGTACTTCCAATAATGCAAAAAATATTCTCATTCCTTCTTTAGAAAGATGTTAGATATTTTGTTTTGAATGAAATACAGTTCTCTTTTACAGATAAGCGTATCCGTCGGTGTCCTCAATGAGCTCCAATCGCTCTTCTTCTTCTTCACATACTACCATTCCTTCACACATCATTGCTGGTAAAGGTCAATTCAAGTTTAGATTCAAAGCAGATTCACATCTAAGTTTACTGTAACAATGTCTCACAAAAAGCATAAAGTTTTAAGTCATTTTCGTTCACCAGAGTGCCTGTGGATGCTTCAGGCAAAGACCATTAACTTGTGGAGGGATAATAACAGCCAAAAGTCTGCCACAATAGAAAACATGTTTCATTCATTCCAGTCCATCAAAGCCATCAATGCTCAACAACCGAACAAATCACATCCGTCAAGGGATACCCACCTCTATCACTATATCAGATATGCTCTCTACGCTGTTTGTATCTATTATTCAGGGAACTCTGACACTAGCACAAAGTCCTCTTCTCCTCTAATAACCGCTCAACTCTTATCATCCATACAAGTGTCATGTATCACACACTTACACATGTGCCTTCTAGAATACTCTACTATAAGTATATTTACCCATGTATTGCAATGAGAGCACAAAGGATTACAAAATGTTTTTTACTGGGTTACTCTGGTTATTCGCTAGTTTCATCATGTTATCAGAGCCGGTCTGAATACATCTACTTTGGTACTTCCGATTTTTGTAGATTTTTTTTTTATTTTTTTAATTTTTATGGATCAATTTTCCTCCTCCCAGGCAGGACATGAATCTTTATCACTGATTCAGGAAAGCTGCATTATACCAGCTTCTCTAAAGTTTGTCATTGCAAACATTCGATCCCTTGTTCCCACTCAACTGTCCAATGAAAACTTCTCCACTTGGAAGTCTCAAATCATAAAGATTCTACGTGCCAATGGGTTCTCCAACTTCCTTCTTCCCACTGCGAATCCTCCTCAACGCACTCTACAACAATCTAATGTCACGGTAGTTCTTAATCCTCAATATACCGAATGGATTATAATTGATCAGAACCTATCTGCCACAATTTCCTCCACACAGTCTTCCTTCGTTTTTCCCTATATGTCATCAACCTGGAATCCTGCTCATACATTTGATATACCATTGAGAAACGCCTTCAGGCCTCCAATCGATCACGGGTAATACAGCTCAAGAATGAGCTTCACAATATCACAATGAAGAATTTTTCAATGGCTCAATATTTAACTGAGATCAAGACTATAGTCGATAACATTGCAGCTGAGGGATCCAACTTAGACATTGAGGATATTGTTATGTATACGCTTAATGGGCTTCCACCTGCATATCAAGCGTTTAAGACATCAATACGGACAAGGCCAGATTCGATTACACTAGATGAACATTATTCTTTCGTACTCAATGAGGAGATCAACTTACAGTCTTAAATCCCTCAAGCATTTCTCAGTAAGTGATCCTACCACTGCATTATATTCTGCTTGTGGAAGAGGACGTGAAGGTCACGGTAGGTTTCAACAACCATCAAACATACTGAATCCATTTAGCCTTACAATTTGTTAAATATGCAACAAGAAAGGCCATGTTGCCTCTACTTGATGGCACCATTTAAATCCAAACTATGTTCCTCAAGTATCTACCTCTGCGTCCAAACCTGCGACGATGATGGCTGCACAGGACTCTCCCAATCTAGATTGGTATCTAGACTCTGGTGCTTCTTCGTACTTGACCAACTCACTGGATAACATTGCTCAACAACAACAGTATCAAGGTACCGATAACATCTTCACTTGTGGCGGAAGATCAATTCCCATAGCTCACTCCGGCACTGGTATCCTACCTACCCTGTATCGTAAGCGTACACTCTCTCATCTTCTACATACCCCTCACTTATCCCATAATCTCCTCTCCCTATCGAATCTCATCAAAGACAATAATATTTCCAGATTATTTGATGCCCATGGTTTCACTATTAAGGACTTGAAGACCCATCAAGTTCTTCTCCAGGGACCAAGCCGTAACATACTCTATCTAATCTCATCATCATCTCCTATAGCTCTTCATGCCTCCCGTGCATGTTCCTTAAGGCACAATCATCTAGGACATCCTCAACAACAATTGCTTCAACTCATCTCCAATAACCATCGCCATCTTAAAATTCTTGTTTCATATTTGTTTGTTATGATTCTAAGGTCTCAAAAGGCCATAAATTAGCTTTTCTAAAAATTGTATCTAGCTCTTCTCATCATTTATCGTTAATTCACATTGATATATGGGGTCCCCCCCTATTGATTCACATCAAGGCTATATATACTATGTAATCTTCATTGATAACTTTTCTAGATTCATATGGTTATTTCCTCTCCACAATAAATATGATGCACATTAGCATTTATTAAGTTTAAAACTCTTATTGAAAATCAACTCTCTCATATCAAATATTTACGATCAGATGGTGACAAAGAATATGTTATTGTTTAATTGACCACATTCTAACAGCAACATGGTATAGAACATCAAATCTCTTCTCCCTACACTTCTGAATAAAACAGTCTTGCTGAGCCCAAGCATCGACATCTCATTAAAACTACAAGAACACTCTTGCACACGGCCTCTCTCCCATATTCACTATGGACTGAAGTTTTTCTAATGGCCTTCTATCTCATTATCCGTCTACCTTCCCGCTCTATCAATAATCAATCACCACTTCGACTTTTTTTACAACATTTCACCTGACTACGCTTCATTAAGAATCTTCGAGTGTGCATGTTTTCCTTTGCTTCTCCCCACACAACGTCACAAGCTTTCTCCAAAATCCATTCAATGTGTCTTCATTGGGTACACATCTACCTCCAAAGGTTATAGGTGCCTTCATCGATCGATCCCATTACCTACCACATATACACCTCTCGTCATTTAACCTTTGATGAAACTTCTTTCCCAATTAAGTCATTGCATTCCCCCAAACAATCCTCTACGTACCTCATCATCTTTGTCACCAAGCATGTTAACACCTATTACACAATCATTTTCTCCCACTTCTTTACCACAAATTCCTCTGACACTCTCCTGCCCATCCTCCGTTCCTTCGCCCACCTCTACATCGCAATCTATAAAATCTACTTCTCCACCTCCTTCAAACACTGAACCTCCCAGCTCCTCCACGCTACCTCCACTACCTCAAATTCCTACCAACATGCATCCCATGATTACTAGATCTACCACGGGTTCCCTTAGACCTCGCCAACTCCTTAATTTACTTCATTCCCAAACTACTGTCACTACCTCTCCTCAACCTGACCCTACATCACTCACAAAATCTATGAAAATGTCATATTGGAGAGATATTATGGTTGCTGAGTTTCGTGCACTTCAACAACAAGTGACATAGATGTTAGTACCACCTCCTTAGGACAAATCGGTCCTAGGTTGCAAGTGGCTTTTCCGCACCAAATTTCATTTTGATGGCTCAATTGCATATTTTAAGGCCACGTTAGTTGCCCAAGAAAACCATAAAGAATATGGGATCAACTATCTTGAAATTTTTAGTCCAATGGCTAAGTTTCCACCATCAGACTTCTGCTTACAATTGCTCTTAACAAAGATTGGCCCATACATTAACTAGATGTTGCAAATGTGTTCCTCCATGTCACTCTTGATGAAGATATTTACATTACTCAACCTAAAGGCTTTGAAGACAAACTCAACCCGAACTATGTGTGCTTACTACACAAAGCTATCTATGGCGTCAAGCAAGCATCGATCGCGTCAGTGGTTCACAACCTTTTATAGCAATCTAAAAGATTTCAGGTTTCACCACGGTAAGGCAGATTCTTCACTCCTTACCTTTCACAAAGATGTCATTCAAATGTATTTGCTTATATATGTTGATAACATACTTTTAACTGGAAATGATCCCCACATAATATCCAAACTTTTGCTTCAACTCAACCAACATTTTGAAATGAAACACCTTGGTACAGTTACAAATTTTCTCGGCATACACATTACTTCTACTGATCATTCATACTTCATGTCTCAAACTTCATATGCCAATTACATCCTACAAACTACTGGCCTTTTGAATTGTAAACCGCTCTCTAACCCCACCTATACCAAATTTCCAGTGCATATCCCATTTGATCCTATGTTATATGATTCCGCATTCTATCAACAAATCAATGGATCATTACAGTTCTTGACTATTACAAGGTCAGATGTAGCTTATCATGTTAATATGCTTTGTCAATACATGCACAATCCATCCTCGGAACATGCTTTGCTTCTAAAGAAAGTACTTATATATATCAAAGGCACTGCTAATTACGACATTCCCATATCCAAAGGTTCGTTTATCCTACGTTCCTTCTCAGATGCTGATTGGGCAAGCTAGCAACAAACATACTCACCGCTACACAACTGGCCACTATACATTCTTTAGCAACACACTTATCTCATGGAGTGTTAACAAGCAACACTCGGTTGCTCAATCTTCTACAGAGGCCATGTAATAGCAGTTTGGATCACATCGTCCAGGCCGATCATGGATCGTCCTGGGACGATCAGTTGTCATTCTG